ACACACACACACACACACACACACACACACACACACACACACACACACACACACACACACACTTCTCTCTCTCTCTCTCTCACACACACACACACACACACATACACAAACACACACGCCCTAGCACCACACCCCCGCGCTAAGAACACCCGGCACAAACGCGTCAAACGCGTTTACCCGCGTTCACTGCGTTCAAAAACTGAACGCGAAACGCGCGTTCAATGAACGCGCGGTAACACAGTAGCTCAAATAAGAAGGGATACCTGGATACCCCATTCTTGTAATAAAAGTTTTCGAGTAAGATGTAAAATTTTAAAATTGGAATGACATTTTTAAAGATGGAATCAAATTTTTTAATTAATTATCTAATTTAGTAATTCTACTTTAGTAGAATGATTATTTAATTATAGGAATATTTTCTGTTGATGTTTTATGTGGTCAGGAAAAGAGAGACTCACTCACGCATGGGCTGATTATTAGCAAACATGAGGCATTATTACGAGAGTTTTCCAGAGTGAGCGAACGAGAAAGACTTTTGCTCGCTCTGTGTAGTTTATGTACTACGAGTAGGACAGTGTACCTGCTATTGTATTCGTGGAAAATGGCAAGTGAGGAAAGACCAACTAAGCACTAACTTGGCATGTGAAATGTTGTCAAAATCGATCTAGTTGAATTGACTATGGATGCACAAATTGTAAGTTAGACGAGTGTAGTCTGTAATGACTTAGAAATTAAGAGTTAGTGAGAGAGTTGCGAACAATGGTCTACGTTTACGTTTAGAGAGAGGGAAAAAGAGGTTTGTACTTCACCAGTTGTTGGTGTCGCCAAACTCAGCGTGTGACAGGTGTGACTCACTACTCACCGCATGAGAACAAAAGGTGAAAAGTGTGGTACAGTAATTATGAGTGTGTTATCTCGGCATGTGAATTGACCAGTGCATACGTGATTAGTGGCGTGCATGCGGACGATAAAAGGGGATCTAACTCATCATCTGAGTGTTTGCAAGTCTGGCAGGAGGGCATGCATTTGCTTATGTCATAAGATTTTGGTGTCGATCTGTATTCCTGCTGACATCAACTTCTGGTCAGCAGAGTGACACGTAGGGTACCATTTTGGGAAGACCAGTCAAACTCGTACGAATGTGTACAAGGAGACAGCGTGAGCATGTAGTTGATGCCTTTCTGATCATCGGTGCGATCCAATCCCCATTTATCATCTCCTGTGTCTCCCTATGGTTACTAGCGTTTGACAAGATATGTGCAGGTATGCAATGTTAATTACTAGACTGAGAGGATGAACTCGATATGAAGGACGTAAAGGAAGGAGAAGTCGCACACACCGTTATTAGACGGTTACCTTGATGTCAATAAGAGATGTGAGACGACGTGGAGTGAGTGAATAGTTGTGTTCGTTACCAACCCCACGAATGAACATCCATGAGGTAGACCGTCCTTCCGTGTTGGATCTGCTAGATTCTTATGAGATACATGTAGACGACTCATGTTTTGAAGCGGTTATGGTACACCCAGACTTCAGATTAGGAAGATACTTCCTCTCAAAGTTGACTATGTGTAACTGATGAAGGCGTGATCAAGATCACGGATGAGAATGGGCAAGTAAAATGAGTATTGACAATGAGTGCGGACTGTCAGAATCGAACCCCCTTTTTCAAAAGATCACGTCAGAGGGATCGCATGTTTCTTCGGTTGCCACCGTTGCGTGACTGATTACTCGTTATTACTGTTAATGTCAGTGAAGGAGAGTCGCATGCAATGACTCGGGAGTACTGATAGTAAGGGATTTAATGGTAAGTTGTGGGAATGATCAAATTATGCGTCTAGTTGTTTTGTGTTACCTGTTCAGCCAGATAATTGCTCGTTGATCACCTCTACTCAGAGGAATGATTCTATTCCAGAAAAAACTAGAACTATTGAACGTTAGGATTGGAAATTACTGTGCTGAATTTTTGTGTGATCTTACTAAGTTACTATTGAACTATTGCTGATGAGCTAATTATGACCAAAGTCCCTCAACGGTTAATTGCCTTCTAGTCATCATCGTTGAAGTAAATATATTATCAAAATCGCAGCAATTGTTGCAACATTCATCATATTAATTAAGGTAGATTTAATTTCACTTTGCTTGGACATCCAGTGTTCAGATTATGCCACCCAAGTATTGACAGGGAGCGATGCTTCACTGATAAATGAATTTCAATGAGGGCAAACGAGAGCGGTATTCAAATATGACGTGTTTGACTAATGATTTTCTATTTACAGCCATTTCGTCAAAACGGACGTATTATATTTTTTTAACGAAATCAAAACTGACCTTTTTTGCCAAAATCCGGTCGGAATTTTTTGCTCATGGGGGTCCGGCGTTCCCAAAACGCCGGACCCCCCTGGTCTATGGTTGAGATCAGATACAAAAAAAAAAAAAAAAAAAAGTATCTGGTCTCAACCATAGACCAGGGGGGATCGGCGTTTTCAAAATTCCGACCGAATTTTGGCAAAAAAAATCAGTTTTGATTTCGTTCAAAAAATATAATATGTCCGTTTTGACGAAATGGCTGTTTATTGATCTACTTGTTTTCACACTTTCAGTATGCTTGGATATGAGTTGATGTACTCAAGAAGTCTCTTCGGAGCTTGATACGTTCATTGAAGGGAGTCAAAGGACCATCAATGGACCGAACACACCGACGAAGTATGGAACCTCACTCTCACTTATGACTAACCCATGTCAATCAATGAGCAAGACAAAGATTGTTTTGAGGAAAATTGTGTATCTTCTTACTACATTCCAACTTGATGGGGACTACTGGGTTGTCTGGTGGAAAGATAATAGCTGAGAAAGCAATTGGTTTGTGACAACTCAAGAGATTAGTCGATTATTTGGTTGTAGGGGAGATCTTATAAATTCGTCGACTCCTAACTCGTTCCTGATTAGTTGCGACAAACATAGCAGGATTTGACCGTG